GGTTATTAAATTAAAAGAAAATTTTAAAAATAAAACAAAACAAAACAAAAAAACAAAAAGAGGACACCTACCTAAAGCTCTACCTTGAAAACAAGAATATGGGGGCTGGGGATATGGCTCAGTGGCTAAGAGTGCTTACTGCCCTATCACAATTTTGAAGGCAAGTAACCAACTTAACATGGGTTTTTAAAAATATTTATTGGGGCTGGAGAGATGGCTCCATGATTAAGAGCACTGGCTGCCCTTGCATAAGACCAGGTTTCAAATCCCAGTGCCCACATGGCAGCTAACAACTGTCTGTAACTTTAGTTCCAGGGGATCTGATGCCTTCTTCTAACCTGTGTCGGGCATTGCACACATGACACAGATGCACTCACATACATGCAAACAATACACGCATACACATAAATAATATTTACTGGAACTGGAGAGATGGCTTAGCAGTTAAGAGCCCTGGCTGCTCTTGCAGAGGACTCAGATTCAGTTCCCAGAACCCACATTGGGGTTCATGACAATAGGTAACTCATGACAGTAGGTAACTCCAGGTTCAGGGGAATCTGATGCCCTCTTCTGACCTGTGGGCATTGCATGACACAGGTACACACACTTACATGCAGGCAATATATTCATACACCTAAAATAAAAATAAAACATTAAAAAATATGTATTTTCTATGTGTGAGTGTTTTGCCTGCATATATGTAAGTGCACCATGTGAAGGCAAGGAGCTCAAAAGATGTCAGACACCCTGAAACTGGAGTTAGTTTTTGCTGCCATGTAGGTGCTAGGAACTGAACCCTAGTCCTCTGCAAGACCAGCAAGTGCTCTTAATCACTTGAGCCATCTCAGCACAACCCCCCCCTTTAAAAAAAAACAAAACAAAAAACCAACGTTGATTTTAGCTGGGCATGGTGGCTCATGCCTTTAATACCAGCACTCGGGAAGTAGAGGCAAGTAGATCTTTGAGTTCAAGGCTGGCTGGGGCTACAGGGAGGAGACCCTGACTCAAAAAGACCAAGGGAAAAAAAAAAGATTTTAAGATGTGGGGATAGTACCAATTTCTGACTGAGGATGTGGCTCACGAGTACTTGCCCAGCATTTTTTTAAGACAGGGTTTCATGTAGCTGATGCTAGCCTTAAACTCCTGATCATCTTGCCCCCCCCTACCTCTAAAGTGCTGGGCTTATGTGTATGTGCCATTGTGCCTGACTCCTAAATTGTCTTGTTAAGAGGTAATGTTAGAAGAAAAACTTTTCAGAGTCACATTACCAGTGTTTATTATAGTAAAGAAACCTGGCTGGGCATGTAGCTCAGTGGACAGCATGTGCTCTGGTTTCTACCCCTAGAAAAAGAAAAGAAAAACTTTGAGATTGTGTATGTGTGTATGTGTATGTGTGTAAAAGGGTTATTTGTTAGCTAATACTTAAAACGTTTGGAATTTTATTTGATAATATATGTAGTATATACATTTTTTCAAATTAAAATTTATGTTTTAAGAAGCTGAGGCTCTAGCTCATTTGGTAGAGTGCTAGCATGCGCGAAGCCCTGGGCTCGATTTCCCAGTACCACATAATTGGGTTGTGGCTGCATATACCTCTAATTCCATCACTTTGGAAGTGAAGGCAGGAGAATCAGAAGTTCAAGGCCATCCTTAGCTTTATAGAGAGCTTGCAGTTAGCCTGGGCTAGAGACCCTGTTTCAGAAACAGCCAGATCGAGGACAGCCTGGTCTACATAGTAAGTACCAGGCCAGCTGGGGCTACAGGGAGACCCTGTCACAAATAACAAATAAATAAATAAATAAATAAATAAATAAATAAATAAATAAATAAATATCTGGGTGTGGTGATATGTACCTTTAATCCCAGAAGCAGGTGGATCTCTGTGGTTGGAGACTGGCCTAGTCTACATAGAGGTTTCCAGACCAGCCAGGATACATACTAAGACCCTCACTTCAAAAACAAAACAAGAAATTCAAAAAATTTTATATAAGTTTAATGTTTCCACTTGTCAGATACATGAATTTAATGATTTTGAGATTGTGTATTTCAAAAGTAGGACAGGGCCCTGGAGAGATGGCTCAGGTATTAAGAACACTGGGTGCTCTTGCAGAGGACCTAGGTTCGGATCCCAGCACCACATGGCAGCTAACAACCATCTGTAACACCGGTTCCAGGGGAATGAACACCTCCTTCTGACCTCTGTAGGCATTGTACCACATGGGTGCACTTACATACATTCAGGCAAGACACAAAAATAAATAAGATTTGTAAAAAAGCAGGGCAAGGATGGGGAGTTAGCATCAATGGAAGACTGCTTGGTTAGTTGTGTCAGGCCCTGGGTTCAATTCTCAGCACTGAAATAAATGAGAAATAAATCATGAGTAAAATTAATCTGAATCTTAAGATCTTCTGTATTTTAGCACAAGTTGCAGACTTAAAGGCTTTTTTTATCTTTTAAGTCGATTTTTGGATTGACTTCACATTAGACTATTAGTCCTAGAATTGTTTCCTTATCTGACCAGAAAATACAAAAATGCATATGAGTAGTTGAAGCTTTTCTCTTTCTTTGTTTTTTTTTTTTTTTTTTTTTTTTTTTGTGTTTTGGAAAGAGGGGCTTCCTGTTTTTTTTGGTCTTTTTGAAACAGGGTCTCCCTGTAGCCCCAGCTGGCCTGGAACTCAATATGTAGACCAGGCTGGCCTCCCTCTGCCTCTCAAGTGCTAGGACTACAGGTGTGCACCACCATGTCTGGCTTCTTTGAGCCTTTTAAAATTTTTCTGCCTATAATGAGGAACTCCTTAATAAAGCAGATGCATTCTGTGTATGTGAAAGTAATGCGTTCAGTTAGTGATTGCATTTGATGTACACTGGGTGCTCTGAGGTCATCCTGATCTAGGTATGTGGTGGCATGTCATACTTTATAAATGAATATCTGAAGTGCTTTTATATTACATTCTTCTGGAAGGAATCTGGTAGGTCAATTCAAAGGACTGTTAACATGTCTTATAATTTCATGTTTTGGCAGGTAAACCTAGCCTTTAAGCAACCTGGAAAGAGGCTAGAGCATCAAGGAATTAGAATTGAATTTGTAGGTCAAATTGGTGAGTTTTAAACTAGTACTACTTTTTTCTTTGATAACTGAAGAGGGTTGGATTTGGCAATTAAATAATTGAATTAAGAATTTAGCTTTATGGAAAGAAGGAGCTGATAACATGTAATAAAAGAGGACCTAGTATATTAAATCGTGTGCTTAATTGTATTTAAAGATACTTGATTTATTCTGCTTTTGGTATTAGATTCTATTACTAAAAATAAAGTTAGGTAAATTACCAGCCTTGAAAAATAATTGTCTCCCATCTGCCCTCATTCTTCACCAACTTCACTCAAAATTACCACCAGCTTCATCTCCATCCTTCATTTTCTAATAACTCATGCCATATGTCTCCTGGGCTAGTATGAACCTGTAACCAGACTTTGACCCATGCACAGAAAATCCTATGTTAAAAGGAGTAATTTCTTCTTGACTGAGATCAAATTGTGCGCATTTTCATATGTGTATTTCAGAGACATTTTTAGATAGCAGAAAGTTAGACTATAGAAATCTTTTGGTACTGAAGAGTCAGGAAAGAATGTGTGTCTCAGTTAATACTCTCTTCATAGCTAGAGTTAAAATCTACTGTACATTTTTTAGTTGAAATGGATTTATCTAATAAAGCTAATACAGAATTAGTCTTAAAGGGAAGAAGTTCAAATTACTGCTGGAAGTTGAAATTCATACTGGGAGAGGACTTAGTACATTAAAGGAATGAACTCATTTCTAATAGAAATTTTGCTCTACTTCTTGAATTTATTTATGCCTAAGTGGAACATGATGAGGATAATAAAATTCATATCATAGCTCTAAATTATTAAATTAGAAACTAATTCATGTAATTCTGTTTGGTAAAAATTTGTTTTGGTGATAGAAGTTTGAATTTTATTGAAATGGATATTAAATACAGTCTTTTTGCTGTTTTAAATTTCTTAGAACTTTTCAATGACAAGAGTAATACTCATGAATTTGTAAACCTAGTGAAAGAACTAGCCTTACCCGGAGAACTGACTCAGAGCAGAAGTTATGATTTTGAATTTATGCAAGTTGAAAAGCCATATGAGTCATACGTCGGTGCCAATGTCCGCTTGAGGTATGAATGTGTATTAGAAACTACTAGAAAGTCGTAATACTGCTGATGTCTTGTTTGAAATTGTAATTCTGGAAGGCTTGAGATTTAAAATATTTTTGGATATTTTATTTCATTTGGCTAATAATGATCTGAAATCATCGGGCTTTCTTATGTAGAGTCAATGAACGGTACTTAAGTTGTAGTTACACATTTCCCTTGTATGAATTACCATTTGAGTTACTTCAAATCTTTTGTTTACTAATGAATTTCATTTAGTATATGGTTAAGAAGTGGTAATAACTCAAAAGGCTGAGTTGTCCAAAATTACACAAGAAGCAAAGGGCAGAACTTAAGTAGGATCCGTTTTTTTTTAAAACATGCATTTATTTTGTGTGTGGGCATGCACGTGAGTGCGTGCGTGTAGGTCTGTAGGTCAGAGGACAACTTTCAGAAGTCGGGTCTCTCTTTCTACCACCTGGGTCCAGAAGTTTGGCAGCAAGTGCCTTCTTTACCCGCTGAGCTGTGTCACCAGTCCAGGATCCCAGTTTTCTAAATTCTCCGTCTAGTGTCCTTTCCCTTCGTACATCTTTGTGCAGGAGGCCATAGGTGCCTCCAAAACTAGGGTAATTGAATGCATCAGATCCAGGATCTTGCCTTTTCTGTTTAATCTGGTGTTATCCATTTGAGACTGGTTCAACAACACAGATGCCAAACATTAGTGCCTTGACTAGAGGATTAAAAAACAAAAAACAGTGATAGTAGAGAGTTCCTCAAGCAGGCTAATAGTCCTCCAAGTTCCTCTCAAAAATATTTATTCTTAAAAGTTGAAAGGTTTTTTTTTCTTGTTGGCATATTTTAAAACATTCGAAGGCTGGAAGTATAGCTCAGGTAGAGCACATACTTAGCCTGCATGTGGCCTTGGATTCACTTCCCAGCACACACACAAAAAAACACCCCGAACTAGGATTCCTTCGTAAATAAAGGAAGGAGAAGGCTGAGCTAACATTTGCTTGTTTAAAACACTTGAGTTTCTCACGGGTAATTTACTTGGTCCTCTCTTAACTTTGTAGGTATTTTCTTAAGGTGACAATCGTGAGGAGACTGACAGACTTAGTGAAGGAGTATGAACTGATTGTTCACCAGCTTGCTACCTATCCTGATGTTAACAACTCTATTAAGATGGAAGTGGGCATTGAAGATTGTCTGCATATAGAGTTTGAGTATAATAAATCAAAGTAAGTTCTGGAATTGGTTACTTTTACAACTCTGTGACCAAAGTGCCTGACAGAAACAATTTAAAGTAGGAAAGATTTGAGAACTGTGGGGCAGGGAAGGTATGGCGGCTCCTCAGCGGTGGGAACTTGGACTGACCATTCACGTGGCACAGACTCAGAGCAGACAACTTGGGCTGAAAACCAGGAGTCAGATTAAAGCCCTACCCCTGGTCATATAAGTGCCAACCAGGCCTCACTTCCTAAAGGCTCCACAGCTTTCAAAATAGCCCTCAAACTGGGGAATGAGAATTTGAAACATGAGCCTGTGGGAGACATTTCAGATTCAATCTATAACAACAGTACTTTTCCAAGATAAATATTCAGGGAAAATTTAAGCCCCCTTTAGGTCTTCATAAATTGATCAGCATAAGTATAGAATTAACAGTTCTGATGTTAACAGATTAACAAAATCTCTGAGCTAAAAGATATTTTAGGAGTTTGGCTTCCACATGAGGGCAAGTGTCTTTCACACTATATGTCTGTTGAGTCACTGCTTGACCACTTAGACTCTGGATTGCATCATCTCAGAAAGCAGATGGTCCCTGTAAAAGCTTATTAATGGGAATGTTATTTTATCCTCATCATTCTCTTTAATCAGAAATCTTTTTTAAGAAGATATGAAAGTGAGAGGAAATAAAAATATCATGTTATTTTTTGGTCTTTTTGAGACAGGGTCTCCCTGTAGCCTCAGTTGGCCTGGAACTCACTATGTAGACCAGGCGGGCCTTGAACTCACAGAGATCCGCCTGCCTCTGCCTCCCCGAGTCCTGGGATTAAAGGCATGTGCCACCACGCCCGGCTTAAAAATATCATGTAATTTTTATCTTTGCTACATAGCTGCTACTAATGAATGACCTCTTCCTGGGGTGAAAAGGGATGTATATATGCTTTTATGCATTGTACTTTTAGAAATTCTCTCATTTTTGTGTAATGCCTTTTCTAAATTTTATTATGAAAGATTTGAAATGTGCCAAGGTACATGACTAGTGTACTGAACAATGGAGTGAGTCTTCACACGCCTATGGTCTAGCTCAATTTTATTTTTATTGTTTGAGGAAGGGTCTCCTGTAGCCCCAGCTGGCCTGGAACTCACTATGTAAACCAGGCTGGCATTGAACGCACAGAGATCCGCCTGCCTCTGCCTCTCAAGGGCTGGGACTACAGGTTTGCGCCACCATGCCCAGCTTTATTTTATTTTTTAAAGAATACTTTGTTTTTATTTTATGTGTATGAGTGTATTGCCTGCATGTATGTAAGTGCACCCATGTTGTGCGATGCCCTCAGAGGTTAGAAGAGGGCTTTGGAGTCCCTGGAACTGGAGTTATGTTGTTAGCTGCCATATGGGTGCTGTGAACCAAACCAGTGTTTTCTGCAAGAGCAGCCAACGCTCCAAACTGCTGAGCCATCTCTCCAGCCCTTTTTTTAAAAAATTTTTGAGATGCCGGGCGTGGTGGTGCATGCCTTTAATCCCAGCACTCGGGAGGCAGAGGCAGGTGGATCTCTGTAAGTTTAAGACCAGCCTGGTCCACATAGTGAGTTCCAGGACAGCTGGGGCTACAGGGAGACCCTGTCTCAAAAAAGACAAAAAAGAAAGAAAAAAAAATTTTTTTGAGACAAAGTTTCGGTGTTAGCCCAGACTGGCTTAGAATTCATGATGCTCCTGCTTCAGCCTCCCAAATTGTGGGATTGCAGGTCTTCACCAACAACCACACTCAGTGTTGCAGTGCTTACTCACCCGTTGACAGATCTTTCCATCCCTACTAAGTGCCACACTTCCCATAGATTATTTTGAACCAAATTGCACACATAAAATTTTGTCCGTAAAATTAGGTATCATTAAAAATATAATGCCATCGTACCAAAAATATGACTAATTTCTTAATATCCTCATATATCTGGTCAGTATTCACATACTTTTCACATGCTTTGTTCAAATCAGCATCCAAAGGACATTTTCCAAAATAACTGCGTTTGGTTTTCTGACTCATGAATCTTTTAATTTTATAGATATTACTCATCTTTTTTTTTTTTTAAGTTTATTTGTTCAAGAAACAGTTGTGCTTTTTTACCCTCTTGTGCATGTTTTTCTGTTTGATGCTTTTTTTTTTTTTTTTTAGTTGTTACTCCCAAGTTTATATCACTGACATACATGCCTTCAGAATCTTTTGGGTTTTTGTTGTTTCAGGTTTTTTTTTGTTTTTTTATTTGTTTTTGTTTTTTAAGACAGGGTCTCATTCACTATGTAGCCCTGGCTGGCCTGGAACTTGCTATGTAGACCAGACACAGAAATCCACCTGCCTCCTGAGTGCTGGGATTAAAGGCATGCACCACTACATCTGTCCTTCAGATTCTTAAAATATATTGTTGAATCAGTTTGGAACCTAAAAAGTTGTCACTGAAGCCTTCCTTCAGACTTCTGTGTTAGTCTGTTCCTAGGATGTTATGTTGCTATCCAGTCCTGGGAGGAGGCTAAAAAACACTCCTGGGTATGGTAGAGAGTTTCAAGTTTATTACTGTGTTTCTAAGTTCCTGAGAATGGTTTAGTCATTAGATACTACCCAGCAAACTTGACCTGCGGCTGTTGCCTTCTTAATCTCTCTGTGTGGCTGCATGACAGGTGAGTTGCTTAGTTCTAGCACTTACAACATAATGGCATTGAACTCTTAGGTAGGGATTTTAGTGCTGAAAAATATATTAATGCAGTATGAAATACATTTCAAGCATAGAATCTCAACTTTCCATTCAGCCGAGTGGTTAAATGCTATGAAAACTGTAAGTAGGAGACAACAATTAATTGGGCAAATTGGGTTCCTCTGAGGCATATTTGATTGCCAAATATGATTCTGTATTTGCAACTGATTAATGCTATTTGAAAAGAGCAGTAGCAATATGAATAGTCAGAATGGTATTTAGTAGCTATTATCCTAAAGGTACCTATTAAAGCCTTTCATGACCTGTTCCACTCTTACTTGCTTTTGAGACTGGACTAGTACATGATGCATATTCTTTTCCAAATAGGTATCATTTAAAGGATGTGATTGTTGGAAAAATTTACTTCTTATTAGTAAGAATAAAAATACAACACATGGAGTTACAACTAATCAAAAAAGAGATCACAGGAATTGGTGAGTTGAAGAATATTTTTTAATTAAAATTCCTTATTAGTTTAAAGTTTAAAAACCTGAAAATGTTAAACACAAATTTGATATCCAGATTGGATATCAGCTTTGCTACTTAATAGTGTTGCTTGTAACTCGGTGTTATTATTTTATTTTTTAAAGTATTTATTATTTTTAATTTATGTGTATGAGTGCATTGCCTGCATATATTTTAAGTGCACTTGTGTTGTGCAGTGCCTGCAGAAGTCAGAAGAGGGAATTAGATTCCCCTGGATCTGGAGTTATGGACAATTGTTAGCTGCCATGTGGGTGCTAGGAGTTGAACCCAAATCCTCTGCAAGAGCAGCCAGTGCTTTTAACCACTGAGCCATCTCTCCAGCCCCTACCTCACTGCTTTTTAAACAATTCTTGAGCTGGATATAGTGGCACACATCACCTATAGGCTGAAACAAGAACATCAGTGGAACCTGGGTGTTTGAGAGCATCTTGGGTAATATCGACCTTGTTCCTTAAAATAATCTTATAATCAGTACTAAAAACATCTGAGATTTCTGCTTTTTTTTTGAGACAGTCTCCTGTAGGTCTGGCTAGCCTTGAACTTGCTACGCAATAGAGAACAACCTTGAACTCCTGATCAACCCACTTGCCTCCATCTCAAATGCTGGGATTGTAGGTGTACATCACCAAACTTGACTTTAAAACTTCATAATTATAAAAATTATGTTCTAGGCCAGGCATCATGGCACACACCTTTAATCCCAGCACTTGGAAGGCAGAGGCAGGTGGATCTCTGTGAGTTCTGGGTCAGCTGGGGCTACAGGGAGACCCTGTCTCAAAAAGAGAAAAAAAGTATGTTCTAATATATAGAGAGATTTCTGAGACAGGATTATTAAGTGAAAGCAACCTATACTCATCATCTGAAAGACTTTAATCTTTGTATATTTTATTATATACATGTGTATGTATATATTCATTCAGTTTGACATTTTTGTCTGTGCTAAAATGACCTCTCTGAGAGGACAGTTGGGAGTTGCAAAAAAACCCTCCGTGCAGTGGCTGCAGTGTGCACTGCCACTCTGTGCTTTAGCAGGTAATAGAATAGCAGAAGGAGCCATGTGAAGAGGACTCTGAGCTGCATGTACCTTTGGGGAGAAGGGAGGGAAGAACTCGGCTGAGTGATGAGTTTAAGGGTAGAGCAGGTAATAGAAAAGAATGACCTAACATTCTCACAAAAGGAGATAAAATAGCACTAAAATAATATAGTTGAAAACAGGACAGATTATAATTCTGGAAGTACTCAACGGCATTTGTGTTGTTATACTTAGGACCTAGCACCACAACAGAAACAGAAACAATCGCCAAATATGAAATAATGGATGGCGCACCAGTAAAAGGTAATGCAATTTCATTTTCATTTAGCTTTTGTTCTTTCTTTTTTTTGAGCTCAGTTTTGCTATGTAGCCCTGGCTAGCCCTAGAACTTACTATGTAGACATTACACTTATCTATTTGAGGGTTCAGGGGCATGTGTATGGGGAATGGTGCACTGGCATGCATGTGAAGGTCAGAAGACAACTTGTGGATGTTGGTACTCTGCTTCTACCATGTGGGGTCTGGGGACTGAACTTAGGTCAGCAGGCTTGGTGGCAAGTACCTTTACCCACTCAGCCTTCTCACCAGCCCTTCATTTACTTTTGTGTCTTATGAATGACAGTTGAATTTCAGTATTTTAGTGTGAAAGTATGAATTTGTAAAACTTTTTAAAAAAATATTTTATTATTTTTATGTGTATGAGTGTATTGTCTGCATGTATGTGAGCACACCCGTGTCGTGCAGTGCCGCGGAGATCAGAAGAGGGCGTCAGAATCCCCTGGAACTGGAGTTAAGGATGGTTTGTAGCCACCACATGGGTGCTGGGAATCGAACCTGGGTCCTCTGCAGAGCCGTCAGTGCTCTTAACCGCTGAGCCATCTCTCCAGCCCCTGTAAAACTTACGTTTTTTCTTTCAGCCCTGAGGGTTAAACCCAGCACCACCATTCATGCTAGGCAAACACTCTGTCACTGAGCAAAGAGCCAGCCATCTTTTTCCTTTTTTTTTTTTTTAATTTCATCATCATCATCATTAAATCTATGCATTTCAGTGCAAAGCCGAGTGCCATGGCATACATGTGGAGATCAGTGGACAACTTTCAGTAGTTGGTTGGTTTTTCTCCTTTTCCCGTGGGTTCCAGGGATTGAAATCAAGTCATCAGGCTTGCATGGCAAGTGCCTTTACCTGCTAAGCTCTCTCCCTGGCCCTTTAGGTTTTTTTTATACTGTTTTGTTTTTTTGAGGCAGGGCCTCTTTATGTAGCTCTGACTGGCCTAGAACTCATGACATAGATTAGGCTGGTGTGGAAGTCACAGAGATCTACGCACCTACACTTCTGAGTGCTGGTATTAAAGGTGTGCACCACTGCACATGGCATCAGCCCTTTACTTTAAATTTTCTCTCTGACTTCCCCTGGTAGTCCAGCTAGTCAGGCTGGTCTCAAACTTACTATGTAGCCAAGAATGACCTTGAACTCCTGATCGTCCTGCTTCCACCTCTGGGAGTGCTGGGATTACTGGCATGCACCACCATGTCCTATTCACTAAATATATCTTTACCATCAAGGCCAATGAAACCAGTATTAATTTTATGTTACTGGATTTTTCTTACTGTGGTGATAATTCAAAAAGGAGCTAATGTTAGTTAAGTGCCAATTTTAAATGGGACATGTAGTTTGGGGTGTCATAAAATTCCCTCCTATTCCTTGATTGGCTGTTTTCTATCTTTACAAATGAAACTGAAAGCCGGGCATGGCACGCCTGTACTCCCAGCACTTGGGAGGCAGAGGCAGGTGGATCTTTGTGAGTTCAAGGCCAGCCTGGTCTACATGGTGAGTTCCAGGACAGCTGGGGCTACAGGGAGACCCTGCTTCAAAAAGACAAAAAAAAAAAAAAAAACAACTTTCTAAAGGTCATAGCTGATCATTGCAGAGTTAAAGGTTGAACCAGGCCTTTCACACTCCCAGGCCCGTGCATATGTTCTTTTGTATTATGCAATATTAGTTTATAAAATTTCAGAGGCCACATATTTTTATGTATTGATTTTTAAAATATTTTTAAATTATTTTTATGTGCATGTGTGTATTGTCTGCATGTAGGTAAGTGCACCCATGTCGTGCAATGCCTGCAGAGGGCTGAAGAGGCTGTTGGATCCCCTGGGACTGGAGTTACGGACAGTTGTTAGCTGCCATGTGGGTGCTGGGATTTGAACCCGGGTCTTCTGCAAGAACAGCCAGTGTTCTTAACCACTGAGCCATTTGTCCAGCCCCTTATGTATTGATTTTAAGTGTGTGAAATGAAATCCTAGCATTTGGGTGACTGAAGTAGGATGACTACTGTGAGTTCAAGGCCAACTTGGGTTCTAGTGCTGAGATTGTCTCTAGAAACAAAAATTAAGTTAGATAACAGAGCTGGACAGATGGCTCATCAGGAGTGGGTAAAGGATCTACAGGGAGCCCCTAGGATCTGGGAAGAGAGAGACATTTCTTCAGTGTTTAGTCACTGGTAAGATGCCCATGCCCTGAACTCATTGATTGACACCTACCCCCCCCCAAAAAAACCAAACAAAAACATGAAAGTAGAAGGAGGGGCTGAGAAGAGGAAGGTGAGGCTTCAAGAGGGTTGGGAGGGGGTAAGGGAGGGTAGGAGAGGGTGAATTATGATATGACCAAAATACATTATAGACATGTATAAAAATATCAGTGAAATTCATTATGATGTGTTTTTTTAAAAGAGACTGTGCATGGCTAGGTATGGTGGTTCATGCATGTTAATTCCAGCATTTGGGAGGCGTAAGTAGGATTCAAGGCCAGTCTGGGCTACTTAGAAAGACCCTGTTTGAAAAAGAGGGAACAGAAGAGATAAAAAGAGGGAGGGAGGGAGGAGTATATGGTTGTCCTTAGGAAAATAGAAAGCATGAGAATCTCAGTACCTTTTTTTTTCTGGTATTGGAGATTGAACCTAGGGTTGTAAGCATGCTAGGCAAGTACTCTACTGCTGAGCTGTCTCCAGTTTAGCAGTCTGTGTTAAGAAAGGCATGTGTGTGTTCATGCTGTGCAGTGTGCATGTTGCTGTGTGTTCATGCAAATATATATACATGTGTGTTTGTGGAAGCCAGAAGTCAATTTTGGATGTTGTCCCTAAGGAGTACTGGCCAACCTTGTTTTTTGAGACAAGGTCTTCATTAGGGCCTGGGGCTTGCTGCCGAGTAGGTGAGCCCTTGGGATCGACCTGACCCCTTTCCCGGTGCTGAGATTACAAGTGCATGCCACCAGGCCTGGCCTTTTACAGGAGAACTGGGGACCAACCTCAAACCCACATGCTTGTGCAGCAAGCACTTTACCAGCTGAGCTATTTCCTGTGCCACTGTTATTATGTACATTTGTTGCTTTGGATGAGTTAGTAATAAAATTTATAAGACATGATGAAATTGTGATAAATTCATGAAAGCAAAAAATGCATTGCCTTATATATAACACTTACTGGCTGGCACTATTCTAATCCCTTTACATATTTTAAACGAACATAGTCCTACAGACTTCCCTCAAGATATGTCATTGGTACTGCATTTCACAGATGAGAAATGACAGAATGCTTAAGTCACACAGTTTAAGGACTCATGGCCTGACTCCAGAGCTCTGGCTCTAGAGCAGTGGCTCTCAACTAAGGGACAATGCCATGAGACATCTGACATTGTCCTGAGAAATTTTGTGCTGCCACACTTGGGGAATGCAGTGCCACTGATGTCTGGTGGTGTTAAGTGCATAGGACCTTCTCATAAACAGGAAATTAGCTGACCCATAATGCCAAGTGACAGAGAAAGCCCTTGTTATGCTGCATCTCGGGTAGAACTGAAGCATTGGTGTCCACTCTTCTGCTGAACCCTAAATTTGATGTGACTGTGTTTAATCATTTTTTAGAATTAAATGGAAATCGGTTTTCTTTCAGGTGAATCTATTCCAATAAGACTATTCCTTGCAGGATATGACCCAACTCCAACAATGAGAGATGTGAATAAAAAGTTTTCAGTAAGGTACTTTCTGAATCTAGTGCTTGTTGACGAGGAAGACAGAAGATACTTCAAGCAGCAGGTATGTCTTGTTCTGTCAGATCTGAAAACACCTAGAGAACATTCCCTTTCTAACCTGTATTGGACTGAGTAAGTGAGTCTCTTAAGTGTACTTGAAAGTGCTGGGTCTAATTAATAGAGATGTAAGGGAGAGGCCCCAGCTAGCCCACAGGACCCCGGGTGAGCTGCAGTTCATCATGCCTTTTATTTTCCCTAAATAAAAACACCTGCTGTTTTTATACTTTTTTAAATGTAATAGGCAGTAAAGAACAGAGAATGAAGTAAAAGTCAACAAAAATCCTACCACCACTGTAATTGGTTTTTCAGTCAAATTTAAGTTTGTTGGATTTTTTTTGGTGGTCCTGGGATGGAACTTAGGGCCTTGGGCATACTAGACAAACTGCTCCCACTCAGCTGTCTCCACCCCCATCCCAGTCTTGCACTCTTTTATACTCATTTTGAGAGATGGTCTCACTAAGCTGCCCAGGCTGGCCTGTACCCACTCTCTATCCATACATGCCTTGGTTTTTTCAGTCCTCCTGCCTCAGCCTCCTACATAGCTGGGCTCACACACATGTACCACCAGGCTCAGCATGTAAGACTGTCTTGATGTCTTTCTTTTATCAACATACATAGATCTCCATTGTTACCTTCTTCCTACTACCTCTGTCCATTATTGTGCCTCTCCCCACCCATTGAACCTAGGGCTCCCACATGCTAGGCAAGCACTTTACCTCCGAACTACATCCCCAGCCCTCAGCTGTTGCTTTTTTTTTTTTTTTTTTTTTTTTCTTTTTTTTTTTTTTTTTTTTTTTTTGTAGCCTTGGCTGTCCTGGAACTTGCTATGTAGGTCAGGCTGGCCCTGAACTCAAGAGATCCATCTGCTTCTGCCTCCAGAGTGCTGAAATTAAAGGCTGGAATCATGCCCGGCTCTATTTTTCCATTTTTGAGACAAGATCTTGCAGTATAGCCCAGGCTTATGTCAAATTCTCAATCCTCCTGCCTCAGCTTCCTAAGCGCTGAGATTATAGGCATAGTGTCTCCATACCTAGCTATCAGTTATTCTAATAGCTGTATTTGATAGATTTTGAGGATACCATTTTTCATTAACAGTTAAAAATACCGTTTAGATGACCTGTTTCTTATACTTTTTTATGTATAAAATATTTACCCTAAAACTTGTTATCATTTGAAAATAAAAGTCTTTGGTGAGTTTTAAGTGAAGGTTGTGATTAAAATGGTCTTCTGAAATATGAGTGGATATAAGGAGGCCTCCAGAGCCCAGTTAGAAATGATTCTGTGCTAATTGGGCATGGTGGCTCATGCCTATACTCTTAGCACTTGGAGACAGGATTACAGAGTTGGGGCTAGTCTAGGCTACACAGCAAGACTGCCTCAACAACAACAAAAACCCAGGCAGCCATGACTTGAAGTAGATTGTTAGGAATTTAGATGAGGAGAGGTCTCAGGGCTCAGTTAGATTTAGATAGGCAGAGCCACAGGGATTTGAAGATAGTATTGGGGAAGAAACAGGGCAAGTTTATTGGAGCGTATCAGAAGAGAATAAATAACTCAGTTTGGGAAAGAAGGTTGCTAGGGAGGAAATGGGGAGCATAGTATCAGTAAATTAGACTAAGGTTATGGGGAGCCCTGAATGTTTGGAGATTTATCCTGAGGTGCCAAGAACCATCAAAGAGCAGTCCAAGTGACACTTATAAAAACATGGGGACTGGCGAGATGGCTTAGTGAGTAAAAGCACTTGCTGCCAAGCATGAAGAGCTGAGTTCAGTCCCCAAAACCCACATGGTGGAAGGAGAACACCAACTCCCACACATCCTCTGGCTGCCTCTTCCACATGGCAATGGTACATGAATGCCTGCACATATACACACAGAAACACATCCAAAACAAATGGGAAAAAAAAAAAAAAAAAGACATGGCAGTACACACCTTTAATCCCAGCACTCAGGCTGGTGGATCTCTGGGTTTGAGACCAGCCTGGTCTACATAGGGAGTTCTAGCCCAGCCAGAGCTACATGGTAAGAACCTGTCTCAAAAAAAAATCCCTGACAACATAATAATAAATAAAAATGTGGTAGTGATGTGAAGGATAAATTAGCAATGGGTCTCACACAAAAGCTGTCCACCAGGAAGTATCTAAGTTCAGTATCTAAGGATAGGCAAGGGCTTGAGGTTGGGTGAAGGCCAATGGAACCACAGGGCAGAGCTTGGGAATTCTTTAAAAGTAACAGCTACAACTTGGTGCTCGATTCGGTTGTTGTGGTGTTGTGTATGGTCCTGGTGGAACAGAGAAGGACATCAAAAGTCCATTCAAATTGAAGGTGGGTCAGTCAGGAAAAGATGAAGGCTTTGGTAGGGAGGAATTTAATTTTGTTATGGCTAAAATCAAGTTGCAGTTAATATTTCCATGGTGAAAATTTAAGGGATAATGGGAAACTTAATTTGTTGGTGTCTGCTTTTTTTCCTAGGAGATCATCTTATGGAGAAAAGCTCCTGAAAAACTGAGGAAACAGAGAACGAACTTTCACCAGCGATTTGAATCTCCAGAATCGCAGGCATCACCTGAACAGCCTGAAATGTGAGCTGAATGGGAGAAAACAGTAAAGACAAAACTATAACCGTTGAGACTAAGTTCAGCAGGTTAAAGGTGGTTGCAGCGAAGAGGAAAAGGCCAAAAGTTCGTATCTGATAGTCTTCCTTTATCTTACAATGCTGCATTTATTTTAATTATTGTAATTCAATGTTCTTCATGTATATACATTTAAAAAAGTGCTTTCTTTGAAACACTGGAGGATTCTTAAGCTGCCTTTTTTTTTAAGCTGCACACTGATAAGCATTCAGGTGCATCAGCATACACATTAATTTTCATGTGCATAGGCTGGTATTTGTAGTTCTGCTTTCTTTTTGCATAATGTTGGAAATCCTTTTTTCATGCTAATGATTACCTCTTATTCTAATTCCCTATGTGCAAATAAGAAATATTTTGTGTTCAAATAAAATTTTAAAACCTGAGTGGCCCTTATATATCCTGCAAAAATTTAAACATGGCTTCTCAATGTTTTTGAGAATTACACTTATTTTTACACATGCATTTCGGAGATGAACATGATATGGTGCTGTGGGCTTCAGGATCTACCAGCTCATGGCTTCCTAAGTTTTATCTTCTTGGAAGTCTCTTGAGGTTCTTGAGGTAGACACAGCCCCCCACCCCACCCCCTGTGATTATGTGGCTTGTCCTGGTGGCCCACCATTAACCATTTGGTACTTGCACTCTGTGCCACCATACCTGTTCTGCAGTGTGGACTTGGCATACGTTAGCATTTTAGAACTTGTTAAACCTGTATGATTTTACATACTTTGAAATGTGTATATATTTTTAATTGAAGGAATGTTCTTGTCAGGAGTGCGCACCTATTCATTTGGGGTGGGAGGATCACGAGGGCCTTGGAGTGCATGTACTTACCAAGATACCTCATGTTAACCGGAACATTGGCTGGTTCAGACATTTAAACCTTTTTATTTTAGAACACTAAATTCAAGTCATTTGTTCAGTCCCTAAAAAAGGTTGCAGTGCTCTGTTGGTATACACGGGATCTGACTGCAGATACACTAATGTGGACCATGGGAGCCGAAGTGAAGCCTGCTGTGTGGAAAGTCCTTTCACTTTTGTACCGATATTTCTTAATACACTTCTGTGCAAGTTTTGTCAGTTAACCTTACTTTATGAGTAAGCTAAATAACCCAAATTACATTTCTTTAAATCTATTTTACTACTATGGCACTTTGATAAAATGGTCAGTAACCAACTCTTCGCTGGCTGAAGGTTCCATGTACCATGTACTGGAGCAGCTATTTTAAATGTGTATATCTACGAATGGTAATGTTTTTCTTCATGTAAGTGCCTGTTCAGAGTTTTAAAATTTTAAAATGCCAAATATTTTCATGGTCACTTGCATGTAGTAATTTAGAAAATATCAGATTTTGAAAACCAATTGTATTTAACCAGCCTCAAGTTGTGCAACTATGATGTATAATAAAGAATTTGAAACAGAAACTGATCTTGCAGTTTGATTAAAATGGCTTTATTCTCAAATCTGCTCATTGTTAGTATGTTGAGGGTAGGTGCTCAGTAGCGCAGGAAGTTAGTCATGACTGAGTTTTTATAAACAGTAACAGCTTCAGTTTAAAGTAGCTATATGATACTTTTAATTAGTTGGCTTAATGCTGCCATAAAAAATTCTTACTCCACTGGAGGCTTCTGTTGTGTAACTAGCTTAAAAAAATCAAATTCAGTATTTGGGAATTTGAGTTAAAAGCTGGCAAAAATGTAACAGTCAACTGTGTTAAGAGACAGTCTGTAGAGTGCAGTCAGTGTTCCCAGTCATGGCCACACCCAGATTGGGTGGCTTACCACTGCCTGTTAAGTCCAGCTCCAAGGATGCCTCTGACCTCTGTGGGCACTGGTACTCACATACACCAATACATAATTTAAAATACCTTTACAAAGAAGTTGTCTTTTTGTGTTGCTCAGCTGGCTGCACAGTCTTTGTGCTGTGCTTTCTACACTTTAAAAATATTTTAGGGGCTGGACAGATGGCTCAGTGGTTAAGAACACTGGCTCTTCTTACAGAAGACCCGGGTTTGAATCCCAGCACCCACATGACAGCTAACAGCTGTCCATAACTCCAGTCCCAGGGTTTCCGACAGCCTCTTCTGTCCTCGGCATTGCACGATATGGGTGCACTTACCTACATGCAGGCAATACACGCATACACATAAAATAAATTTAAAATATTTTATTTAGGTCTATGCATTTTAAATAATGTTCTGTCTTGGTATGTTCTGCTCAATACAATATTTGAATAAGTGGATGAACCTTATTTTCCTAAAGATTATAAAGTTTCTTCACACGGCCCTAGGTTCAGTTCCCAGCACTGTAAGAAAACAAAACAAAAAGCACCTTCCTTTAGGAAAAAATAACAGTCCAATATGCAATAAAATGATGCACAAGAATCCTATGAAGGGGCTGCAGAAATGGCTCAGTGGTTAAGAACACTGTGGTGCACTTACATGCAGGCACAAGACTCATACACAAAAAAAATTGGGAGCAGTTAAGAGCACTGACTGCTCTTGCAGATGACCCAGGTTTGAGTCCCAACACCCACATGGCAGCTACAAACTGTCCTTAACTCCAGTTCCAGGGGAATCTGAAACCCTCTTCTGACTTCTGCGGCATTGCACGACATGGGTACACTTACATGCAGGCAATATGCTCATACACATAAAAATAATAAATATTAGCCGGGCGTAGTGGCGCATGCCTTTAATCCCAGCACTTGGGAGGCAGAGGCAGGTGGATCTTTGTGAGTTTGAGGCCAGCCTGGTCTACATAGTGAGTTCCAGGACAGCTGGGGCTACAAGGAGACCCTGTCTCAAAAACAAACAAACAAATAATAATAATAATAAATATTTAAGGGATAGAGAGATGGCTCAGCAATTAAGAGAACTGGGTGCTTTTGCAGAAGACCCGGATTTGAATATGAGTACCCACATGGTGGCTAACAACCGCCTGTAACTCCAGTTCCAGGGAATCCAAGACCCTCTTCTGTCCTCTAAGGGCACAGCATGACACAGATGCACTTACATCCATGCAGGCAATACTCAAAATAAAAATAATTTAAAATTTTTAAATAAAAAACTTCTTAAAATAATTTGGACCATAATAGACTTTATGCCAGAAAAACATTAGAACTTCAAATTATAGAATTTGGTAGCAAGATATAAGGGACAGAAATAGTCGGGCCATCAAGATGGCTCAGCAGGTAAAGATGCTTGCCACCAAGCCTGATGATCTGAATTCCATCCCCAGGACTCGGGGCAGAAAGAGAACTGATTCTTGTAAGTGGTACTCTTACTCTTGAATGCACCGCCCACCACACACACACAAATATAATTTTAACACTTTTTGGGAGCAATCTACAAGATTTGCTTCTGAGATCTACACTAGAGTTTGGTAGAAAGGCAACAGAAAAACCTGTTGTATTTTCTACCACGCAGCCCATTGCCTCTCACTTCATGCCCTTTGTACTTCTGTGTCTCACGTGTATTTAGCTTGTTTCCAGGGTCTACTCTCCTTGGCCCTGTCCTGAATGATGTATAGTCCAGAGCACTGGTTCTCAGTTTGGTTATCTCAACAAGCAGAATTACGTCACCTGGAAACAGACCCTACTGTAAACTCAGCCACTAAGCTACATCTTCAGCCCACAATCTCTGCTAATAATTCTGCACAAGAATTAAGTTGTGAGAACCACTGATCCAGAGACTCAGTTATTTTAGTGCTATGGTGTAATTAGATCCTATGTATGAGAGGAACACTGCAGAGGTACAGAAGTGAAAACAGTATAGTAACTGGTGTGTAGTTCTGGTGTGAATACAGGAGAGTAAGTGGAGGGCACAGATGAGGGAAAGCTGATCCAGGATGAAGCTTGGCTACCATATACATCAACAGAACTTGGGCTTCATTTCACCAAACTAGAATTACTGAAGGATTGTAAGCAAGAGTAACAATCAGATTTGTTTTTGAAAGGTCATTATTATCTGTAAAACATAGGGAGGAGGCTTGAAAGCAGGCAGGGTAGTAGTTATATAATATTACATCCATTCATCCACCCACCCACCCTTCATCCACTAAGCAAAACATTTATGGAGGTTTGGATATGAAACGTCTCTCCAAAAGGCCCATGTGCTAAAAGCTTCACTCTGAATACACCATTCAGAGGTGAGACTGTTGGGAGGTGACTGGACCATAAAGGCTGTTTATGAATGGGAAAATCCACTCACTACTGATTAGAATGAAACATCATTGGGAGATAGTGGGAAGCACAGGAAGGGGGCGTTCTTAGAAGCAATATCTTGTCATGACTGTGTGTGAGTATATTGCCTGCATGTATGTAAGTGCACCCATGTTGTACAATGCCTGCAGAGGGTGTGTAATCCCCTGGAACTGGAGTTATGGACAATTGTTAGCTGCCATGTGGATGCTGGGATTCGAACTCATATCTTCTGCAAGAACAGCCAGTGTTCTTGTCCACTAAGCTCTTGACCATTGAGCTGTCTCTCCATGACTCTTTCAAAGCTCTTATTTCCTCTGCTTCCTGGCTGAAATGATGTGAGCTGCTTTCCCATGCCATGCCCTTCCACCTTCCAACTTGTTCTGCCTTGCCACAGGCCTAAAAGTAATGGAGCCAGCTGACTGTGAAGCCTCTGAAAGCAGGAGCTAACCTTCAAGTTGTTTTTCTCAGGTATTCTGTCACAGCAATGCAGAAGTGCAGATCATACTTTGTGCTGTGCGTGACTGAAGGGGACTTACCTGTGCTATCATAAAATTCAGGCTGCACAGTTAAAATAGTTTTGAGAATTTTCTTTTTCCTGCAAAACTACTAGGGTTGGGTTATTCTGGTTTGAACAATACTGTTAAAAAATGCTAAATGGCTGAGAGGGTGGGTTCGGACCTCCATCAAGGTAGTGGCTTGGAGCTCAGCAGACCTCCAGAGAGGTTCTGGCCTCCAACTACCAGAGGGCCTTAGAACCCAGGGTACTGCCTGACAGCCCCCAGATCCTGCCTCCAGGTGGTGATGAGCTTCCCCTAATTGCACCATACCATCCCGCTACCTGGGATTTTGTGAGGCCCCTTCCAAGACCCCAGGGTAGCACATCTGGCTTTGGTAGGCTAAGGCTGAGATCCTAGCAGACAGCCTGAGAGAGTGGGTTCAGACCTCCATCGTTGTAGCAGCTGGGATCTCAGCAAACCACCAGAGAGTGCCGAGTTTTGGGCCCCCTCTGGCATGGGGTTGACAATGAACAGGACTGCCTGAGAGAGCCTGGATCCTGCCTCCATGTGGTGAAGGAAGCCTGAGGGTACCTGAATTGGGTTTCTGTGGATACCCCTGAATAGCTGATGTGAAGCTATCAGTTCCCTGCAAAATAAACCCGAGAGAACCTGAACCCTGTACCAACCAGCTTACATAACTAATAAAGAAAGGATCTAGGCACCTGGATAATACAAACAGAAGCATACTTCAACTTAATTCTCATCTCAGAATCATAAACAACAAAAGAAATTCACATGCGACAAAATCAAACAAAAGAATAATGAAATAGAAAGCCAAAACACCATGTCCCCACCAAATTCCACCAGTCCTGTAGAAGAGTTCTACAAGAACCCCCTAGAGATAACCCAGGACACTGAATTTAAAAGAACAATCAGAAACATGATCAAGGAATTCAACGATTTTAAGGTACACACGAACAAACAGAGCTAAAAGAAGTTAGGGGTAAACAATGAATTCACAAGAGATAGAAACATTGAAGAAAACTCAGGTAGAAATGAAGAAGGAAGTGCAAAATTCAATAAGCCAACTTGAAACAACAGGGGAAAG